TTGACGAAAAGTTGATTTGGGGGCTAGTAAAACCACCACAATTTGGTCTACTTGACCTGTCAAGATAACAGAGTGTGATGTTCTATATATATGTCGGCATTTCAGCCGATAATGCTTCGATGGCGGTCTGCGAACTTACAAAACCAACTAATACGCGTTTTTGAGTCAAGAAAATTCTAAACCAGAAGGAGGATAAAGATATCGCTGAATAGCACACATCTTACCTACCAAAGAGAACATGACACGTCGAGGACAGGGAAAACCTTACGTAACCTTTAAACTGTTCAGAGAATTCTTATGGGCCCAGCAATCGACCCTATCAGTGCGTTGTTCATAATCATCAGAAATTCGCGAGATCCTCCTTCTACCTTGTCCTTCGCAGGATTATAAAACCAAGCTTTCGTTTTTGGCCGTTTTATGTCGTAAATCGTCGAGTAAATCTTGTAAGAAAAATCAAAAGTTGTAAAGCATAAATCTTACCGTAACGATTACGCGTTACGCGCTTGCTGGTCAATGTCCTTGCTTTTTGAGCAGATGAGGTAGCAAGTAATGTCCAAGCAACGTAGTTATGACAGAAATACAGTAATGTAATAAGTAAAGTCAGTGCAGTTATATACTTAGGTGTCAAAAATAAATATATAGCAGAAAGCACGATATGGACAACGCACAGTTAATTTTCTAGACGCTTGGTTTTGGGCCCAAGAGTACTAAACATGCGGGCGCTTAGCTACCGCTCAAGATGCCGGAATAATGAGAATAAGTGGAGCTTTTTGGTTTCGTTGCATCCGAATTAAATTGAATTTATACTCGTTCAAATTTCAACTACTACTAGTTTCAACTAGCTGTTGCTGAAAAGCACAGCAACAAGCAAGCCCGGAAAGTAAGCAGACCTGAGTAATGATATATAATTAATGTTTCAAATCTAGCGGTAAGAATTTTGAGAGAAATGAAACACAAAATAAAGTGGATTTGTTGGTGGTATAGTCCAATAGCTGGTCCGTCATTGGGTTGTCGGAAAGTTGTGCCGTTTTTGGCAAAGTCACTAATTTTTAAGAAACCGGATGTTTTTGCCAGCACGTTGTATACCATTTAATATTAGATCTCCCTCAGAAGTTTTATGCTTGGTTCCTCTAAAGATTTGGGTTTTATAGACTAGAATTCATTGAAAATCCAGAGGGCTAAGAAGCTCAACCGTCACCTTGATTTCTTACTTTGCACTGTTAGGAACCCGCAATACAGAATAACGCTAACTGGTGGGGTAATTTACGACGATTACAAAAATTTTAAACACTTTTCACAGCACGATCCCGCTATAGGACTTTGGTAGATATAAGATGTAGGTCCTTAACTGATTTATTTGAAAAGTGTCTACTGGAGTTGACTGACATGCAGATCACACACACATCCATTCCCCGTGGTAAAGCTATCTCTATAGTAGATGTAAGATTATAGAGTTGTTTCTTTTCCGGCAGATTAGTTTTTTTGACCTTACCATTGTATACCCACCCGATTTTTGTAATTATCATCTCTTATCAAGTAGCATTTTAGCATTTTCTCCAAAAATTGAGATGCTGGTTGAGCTTTTTTAGACTCTACAAACTTTCTATTCAACAATACTAGCAGCACGAATAAGCCAAGTATACTATCTTGTAGAAAAGATTTCTTCTTAGATATGCAGAGACTTCCGATTTCTGAAAAAAATTTTATTCAAAAAAACGGTACGAACTTATCTGACAACCTAATATTTTAGGATTTTTTTAGGAAAAATGTCAAGATGAAATAATACAACTTTTTCGCATTAAAACAGTTTTCCCTCCTCACCTTGTTATTCTTCGAACAAGCTATGATTGCTAAAGCGTCATTGAAAATTGAATGCTTCTCCG